GATGTCCTGGGAGGACAGAACACGGCGAGAGGTGGGGTGGTAGAACTGCCACCCTGGCGCGTCAGGGGGGAAGCCAAGGAAGACGCAAGGAGCAGCACGAGGGGACAGCTTGTCCGCAGACAAGTCGCGGACAAACGCCCGAGATCCCCAGACACGGAACGCAGACGCATCGCCAACCTTCCCCGTCCACAGCAAAGCTGGGGAGGTCTCCGGCATGGAGACCCTGGGGTGAAGGTTGATCTGATGCGCCGCGTACCGAACCGCAAACGGCCACAGAAAATGGGGGGCAGCCGCATGCATCATGGACGTACGGCCGACGTCCATGACCATGCCAATGCAGCGCTCAGCAATCCCATTTTGCTGTGGAGAGTCCGGAAGCGTGAAGGTCTGGCGGATGCCTCGTGCACGACAGTAGGCTCGCAGAAGGCCAGAGGAGAACTCTCCACCTCTGTCAGAGTGCAGACGCAGAACAGGAAAGTCCGAGCCGAAGCTCTGCCTGAGCTGGAGACGAGCTGCGCGGATCCAGTCGATCAACACCTCAGTGACATCACCCTTGCTGCGCAAGGGGAAGACTGTGGTGTAACGCGAGTAGTCGTCAACCACCAGCAGGAAGTAGCGCTCGTGACCCTGTCCACGGACGCGGGCCGGGCCCCACACGTCCATGTGAAGCGTCTGCAGCGGGGCCTCTGTCGGAGGAAACCGGGAGGAGTGAGGGGCTGCCCGCTGCCGCCCCTCGACACAAGGGACGCAGGTAGGGCCGGGCCCCGGAGGAAGGGGAGGGAGGGACCGGGGAAGACCAGAGACAAGGACACGGGAGGCCATGTCTCGGAGACGAAGCAGGGAGGGGTGACCAAGGCGGTGGTGCCAGAGGAGAGTCTCGTGCGACAGGAGGCGACACGAACAGGGGGCAGACTCAGGACCAGACCTGGACGCTGCAGCAAACACCTGACCCGACGCAGCTACCTGACCAGACGCAGTGACTGGAGGAGACGCAGTGGTCAGTGTGTACAGGCCCGACCCCGGCCGACGTGTAAACGTGGCTAGGTGTCGGCCTGTCCGAGCGTCCGTGCAGTGGGTCACCCGCTGACTCGCAGGAGTGAACTGGTGAACCCCCGCATCCTGTAGGTCAGCACCACTCACCAAGTTCGTAGAGAACGAGGGGAGGTAAAGACCAGACAGGGTGCCAGAGGGGGCCGCCGGACACGGGAGGACAGTGGAGAAGTGAGCAAGGACAGGACCCCCAGAGGGGTCTGCCAGAGAGACTGCAACTGGCCGGCCAAGCGGCGTGAGTGTGGTGCGGTCTCGAAAGAAGGAGCGAGAAGCCCCCGAGTCAAGGGTGAAGGTGTGGGAGGCCGAAGCCGACGCAGTACCTGAGAGAGCAGACTCACCAGCACCTGAGGGAGCAGACGCACGAGCACCTAGAGCAGCAGCCTCGCTAGCACCTAGAGCAGCAGCCTCACCAGTACCTAGAGCAGCAGTCTCAATGCCCGGGTCGGGCGGAAAACACCGGTAACAGTCACCCTCATCACTAATAGTCACAGCATACATGGCAGCAAGAATAGCATCAAAGTCAAGGTCAAAGACAGCTACACCCGCCCTAGACAGCTCGCCCCAGCGGGGGATCTCAGTGGCCTCAGGGAACTGGTGACACCAAGCGTCCGTCAGGCGGCCAAAGCAGCGCTGGGTGGAGTGCGCACCCCCGCACTGCTCACCCGCGCGGTCGCCGGTGCGTAGGACGTAGGTGCACGGACCAGTACCCCCACCCCGCTGGCGTGCAGCGTACCACTCACGGAGCTGCTGAGGGGGGGGGATGTCACGAGTGCGCTGCTGCCGTTGCTGCTGCTGCTGCTGGCGCTGACCACCACCGGAGCCGACCCTCTGCGCAGCGCCACCCCGACCAGCTCCACCTCCTCCGCCGCCGCCTCCTCCACCACCGCCACCTCCGCCACCTCCGCTCCCACCGCCACCGCCGCCGCCGCCTCCGCCTCCACTGCCGCCACCGACACCTCCACCCCCGCCACCACTCCCACCACCACCCCCACCCCCTCCACTGCCGCCACCGCCACCTCCGCCACCCCCGCCAGCCCCTCCAGCACCCTTGCCCCCCTTGCCCTTGCCGGTGCGGCGTCTCCCGCTCGGGGCAGACGCAGCACCGACCGACTCGAAACCAACGAGGTCGGCCGCAGCAGCAGAGGCAACAGAGGGCAAAAGGGGGGAGGGGGAACACCCCTCAAAGACGGGGGTGCGAGGGTCACCACGAGAGGCTCCTACAGCGACTATGCTCTTCTCTGCTGCTAGGAGGGCCTTCTCGAGGAGGTCAACGGTGAGAGTGGTGGGGCAAACTGAGAGGAAGTGGTCCCTGACTACGCGAAGGGAGTCAGGGAGCCGGGTGACTATGTAGTAGAGGGTGATGTACATGGGGGGGGGGTTCTTGGCGCAGAACTTAGCAGGAAGCGCAGCGCGGTAGCGAGTGTCACTAGTGCGGAGGTGCGTAATGAGGTCAGCGACTGTGGGAAAGGCAGCAAGGTCAGGGAAGAGGTACGGTAGCATGAGGCGGCTCAGTGCAGCAGTGGCAGGGGAGGATTAGCGCGCAACTACAGCGTCGTACAAGGTGTGAGCACTCTTGTACTGGCTAAAGTGCGCACGCTCAGAGGTAGGCAGGTGGCGACGCACAGCAAGATGTGCAGCAGCATCGCGTGTGGCCCACTGTGAACGAACAGTGGCGTCGGCATCAGCAGCAGGGGCAGGAGAGGCACCAGAGGTGAGGTCAAAGAGGGAGAGACCGTCTGCCCTATCGCACTGTAGGAAAAGCTGCAGGTCATCTACCCAGACGTCAAAGTCAATGGCCCGACCCTCAGCGTCAAAAGCGAGGACACTAGGGGTAGCCATGACAGTAGTAGACTAGCAGCGCGAACAGTAGGGTAAGGGCAGTGCAGTGACAGAGGCGCTGCTCTTACCGGACAGGGCGGCTCGAGCGGCTCGGCGGGTCGGCAACTCAGCGGCTCGAGCGGCTCGGGCGGCTCGGCGGTACGGCGGCTCGGCAGCAACTGCGGCTCGGCGACTCGGCGGCTCGGGCGGCTCGGGCGGCTCGGCGGTACGGCGGCTCGGCAGCAACTGCAGCTCGGCGGCTCGGCGATCCGGCGGCTCGGGCGGCTCAGGTGGCGCGGCGGCTCGGGCGGCTCTGGTGGATCGGGCGGCTCGGCAGTAGCTCGGCGGCGCCGGCGGCTCGGTGGTGGGGGCTGGGTGGAGCGGCGTCGGGGCCGGGTGGAGCGGCGTCGGGGCCGGGTGGAGCGGCGTCGGGGCCAGTAGAGGCGGCGCCGGGGCCGGGAAGGGCAGCTCCGGGGCCGCAGGGGTAGGCGACGGGGCCAGCAGAGGCAGCGCCGAGGCAGGGAAGGGCGGCGCCGGGGCCGCAGGGGTAGGCGACGGGGCCGCGAGGACGGCTAGGAGGGGGGGGTCGCGAGGGCGGCTTGAAGAGGGCCGCGAGGGCGGCGCGACACGAAGGAGCCGCGAGGGCGGCGGATCGGGGCCGCGAGGGCGGCGCGACGCGGCCGCTAGGGCGGCGCGACGTGTAGGGGCCGCGAGGGCGACGCGACGGGGCCACAGGCGCGACGCGACGGGGCCGCTAAGGTGGCGCGACAGGGTCGAGAGAGGGGAGCGCGACTCGGGCAGTGTAGAGCGCGCTCCGGGCAGGAAAAAAAGGTGGTGGGCCCTAGGAACAGTTCCCACAGGGGAACCTGCTCGATACCATGAGAAACTGAACGAGAATGGATTGACTAAGGGAAAGTTGGGTACAAATGTAAACCCTAGAAAACTGTACCCCATATGTGCTACCCCACTATAGCCTACAGTAGCTATGTCATATAAATCTGACACAGCACCCAACAGTAATCCGTTACCACTCGCGACACTCGCTTCGACACCATTCCCACCACTGTTCACGACGCGACCCAACCTCACGGTTCGGTTGGTAACCCGCGCTCCGGACCTCCGCCTCGACATCTCCCAACCTCGGCGCTAGGCCCGTCGCGCACCCCATTTTCCACACATTACCGTTACCACTGTAGTTTCGCTATATATTCTTCGCTCATGCCTTCGCTCATTGTACTCTTGCTTCGATAGTGCAATTCTCGCTCGTTCATGTCAGAGGTCCACTGGTGATCCCCGATTGATCCTAGGGAAGGGTTACAGGCATGTTGGCCTGGGGGGTTATGGGCGCACTGACCCGCTACTTAACAAGCCCTTTTATCCCAATGGTCTAGTGTTTAGGATTCTGACATGGTATCAGAGCGAAGGTCTCGGGTTCGAATCCCAGTGTGTGCACTTCGGGCATCCCAGTGCGGGAGGGTGTCAGAGGTCCACTGGTGATCCCCGATTGATCCTAGGGAAGGGTTACAGGCATGTTGGCCTGGGGGGTTATGGGCGCACTGACCCGCTACTTAACAAGCCCTTTTATCCCAATGGTCTAGTGGTTGGTGTCGCGATATATATTTATATATATTTATAACTGCCTGTAGCTTTAGCTCAAGTGTAGTTATGTTTCCTTGTGGTGGTGCACCTTTGCTAGTTTGCTATATGTACCTTGTGTGCTATAGTGAACAATACACATTCTCGATTCTCTCTTGGCACAACTCCCTCGACACCCGCTTGGCCTAGGCTACTAAGCCTAAGCCCTTAGTTAAACCCGTTCCTAGCTAAGTTCGTCTCGTGACATGGTATAGAGCGATTAAGTTCCTGACCTAAGTTAATGGGCCCACCTATTCGTGGCACAGCGCTCGCTGCGACGGGCGCGGCGGCGAGCCGGCCGCGTTTCCCTCGTCGCCAGCCCGTCGTTTTTTCCCTCGTCGCCTGCCCGTCGCCATCCCGTCGCGTTTTCCCCCCGTCGCCAGCCCGTCGCGTTTCCCCCATCGCCAGCTCATCGCGTTTCCCACGTCGCCAGCGCGTCGCGTTTCCCCCGTCGTCAGCCCGTCGCATTTCCCCACCCTCACCACCTCTGCCCGCGCCTACGCCTGCTGCCGAGTTTGCGCGAGAGTGGGGAAGGGGGGGGGACGGCATCGGGAATGAAGGGGACGGCGACGGTGGCGGTCGTCGCGGCCCTTTCCCCCCCGTCCCGTTTTCTTCCTTCCCTTCGCCTCGCTCCGCCCGTCGCATTCCCCCGGCCCCCTGCTCGTCACCCCCCCCCTCCCCCGTCGCGACTGTTCGCGTGTGCAGCTGCGGTCGCTGTGGGTGGGAGAGGGAGGAGGGGAAGGGATTGGCGGCGGAACGCTGCGGGTGGGAGAGGGAAAGGGGGAAGGGAGTGGCGGCGGAATGCTGTGGGGGAGAGAGGACAAGGGGGAAGGGAGTGGCGGCGGAACAGCACCAGGCACCAGCACCAGCGCCAGCCACCAGCACCAGGAACCAGCACCAGCACCGAAGCCAGTCACCAGCACCAGCACCGGCACCAGCGCCGTTACGCCAGCGCCAGCCACCAGGACCAGCGCCAGCCGTCAGGCACCAGCACCAGCGCCAGCCGCCAGCACCAGGCACCAGGCACCAGCACCAGCGCCAACACCAGGCACCAGCACCAGCGCCAGCCGCCAGCACCAGGCACCAGCACCAGCGCCAGCCGCCAGCACCAGGCACCAGCACCAGTGCCAGCCGCCAGCACCAGGCACCAGGCACCAGCACCAGCGCCAGCCGCCAGCACCAGGCACCAGCGCCAGCGCCAGCCGCCAGCACCAGGCACCAGCACCAGCGCCAGCCACCAGCACCAGGCACCAGCACCAGCGCCAGCACCAGCGCCAGCCGCCAGCACCAGGCACCAGCACCAGCGCCAGCCGCCAGCACCAGGCACCAGCACCAGCGCCAGCCGCCAGCACCAGGCACCTGTGGCCAGCAGCCCTACCTGTGACCAGCAGCCCCACCTGTGACCAGCAGCCCCACCTGTGACCAGCAGCCCCACCTGTGACCAGCAGCCCCACCTGTGACCAGCAGCCCCACCTGTGACCAGCAGCCCCACCCGTGACCAGCAACCCCACCTGTGACCAGCAGCCCCACCTGTGACCAGCAGCCCCACCTGTGACCAGCAGCCCCACCTGTGACCAGTAGCCCCACCTGTGACCAGCAGCCCCACCTGTGACCAGCAGCCCCACATGTGACCAGCAGCCCCACCTGTGACCAGCAGCCCCACCTGTGACCAGCAGCCCCACCCGTGACCAGCAGCCCCACCCGTGACCAGCAGCTCCACCTGTGACCAGCAGCCCCACCTGTGACCAGCAGCCCCACCTGTGAAGAACTGGACAGGGACCATCGTGGGTGGGGAGGGGTCTGGAGGAAGAACAGGAGGGAGGGAGTGCGGTTCCAGGGGACGGTTGAAATGGGGGGTGAGGTTACAGGGGGTTGGTTGATTGAGGGTGGGGATGTGGGGGTTAGTAAGAGGGGACGCTGCGGCCACCCCCCCACCTCCACTCCTCATCCCCCACTCAACCTCCTCTGTGTAAAAGGGGGTTAGTAAGAGGGGATGCCGCGGCCACCCCCCCACCTCCTCTCCTCATCCCTCACTCACCTCCTCCTTTGTTCTTATCTCCTCTCCTCCCCTGTCTCTCTCTCGCCTCCTCCTCACCTCTCTACCGTCTTTCTCAACGCCTGCAATACCCTTTCAGGGGGTGTGACTTACTCTAGCTATGTGCTGCAGGCAGTTAAGGGGGTGTGTCGCGATATATATTTATATATATTTATAACTGCCTGTAGCTTTAGCTCAAGTGTAGTTATGTTTCCTTGTTGGTGGTGCACCTTTGCTAGTTTGCTATATGTACCTTGTGTGCTATAGTGAACAATACACATTCTCGATTCTCTCTTGGCACAACTCCCTCGACACCCGCTTGGCCTAGGCTACTAAGCCTAGGCCCTTAGTTAAACCCGTTCCTAGCTAAGTTCGTCTCGTGACAGTTGGGATTCTGACAGTTCACTCAATTGCACTCGTAACACTTGGTATTCAGAGCCTACGATCTCTTCTCGGACCGCACCCACACCTTCGTTTTCCCCACTATCTCAATTTTTTTGGGGGGGGTAGACGTCTCTCAGCGAAACAAGCACCGCCGTTCGTAGTGCTCTCTCGTAAGCACGCACGGCCACGACAGAGGCTCTCGCTGAGCTTGCCCGACACCCCCGCCATGGCCGAATTCACTCTCGCGACACTGACGCAGGAGCAACTTGACCGTCTCGTGCACCAAGTCGAGGATTCAGCGCTCGAAATTGCGACGCTCACGGCGGAACGTGACTCCGCGCGTCAGCAATCCACGGTGAATACTCCAGCACCACCACACGCACCTGCCAATGCACCCGCACAATCGGAGGAGCCGATCGTCATTTCATCAGGCACACCAACACAGAACGATAGCGTGGGACAGCGCTCAGGCGTAGCCAGTGATGGCGCCGCTCACTCGATGCCTGGCATGGAGAGGAACAGGGTCACACCAAGCCCGCGGGAGCCTCGTGAAGCCCGTCGGCACGTGGAATTTGCGGCGACAAGTGGCGACCACGCCAGCATGGCACCAATGCCACTCAAGCCGCAGCGCCCGCCCTGCTTCGACCCGAGCCAACGTGGAGGTCCGACGGTTCAGTCGTGGGTCTTCACGATGAACGTCTTCTTCGACGCGAACTACGTCGAGTCGGACGAAGCGAAGATCAGATACGCCGTCTCGCTGCTGAGAGGCCCCGCCATGGACTGGTGGCGAGTTATCGTGACGTCGCCACGCGCCTACGAGCGACCGTCGCAAGAGGAAGGGCCCACGGGCCCAGCTATCACATGGAGTTCATTTTGCGAAACCGCCCAGTACAGCACGTGGGATGCGTGGTGCGCAGGGCTTCGGGCGCACTTCGAGCCGATCGCGACTTCTCTTTCGGCGTGTCAGAAGCTGCGTACTTGGCGGCAGCTCGGATCGGTCCAAGACTACACGAGCGGTTTTCTCGCATTATGCGAGCAAGTCGGCTATATGCACGAAGCGGAGCGGGTGGACCGTTACGTCGGAGGGCTGAAGCCGGACATCTCGCACGAAATCATGCTACGCGGACTCTCGAATTTCAACGAGATTCTCGCGCTCGCCGAGAAAATCGACATTTTACGCCGTCCGAGACCGGGGTCGTACTATGGATATCGCCCTCGGGGACCAATCGAGCACGCCACTGTACACGCCGTTGCGACGAACGCAGCTGCCGCACCGTTTAAGGGGCGCTGCTTTGCTTGCAATAGGCCGGGCCATCGTAAGAGTGAGTGCCCAGAGAAGCTGAGGCGCCGCGGAGCAGAGCAGGGGAGGGAGTCTCCAAGGCAGGGAAACGCCAGCAGTCAGTTGGAATCGGGCCAACGACTGACAAGACTGCCTGCTCGCCCAACCGCACCGACCCTCACCGAGTCACAGTACCGATTCCCGCTATCGATCGGGCTCGGATGAATAAGGAGGGTACAGCGACGGATTGCCCAGTACTGATTCACGGAAAAATACAGGGAGCAGCAGTGAAGATTTTTATCGACGGAGGCGCGAGTCACAGCTTAGTTAATACCGCGACCGCACGAAAACTACAACTGCCACTGAGTCGGTGTTTACCGGAGATAGACGCACGCTTAGTTGACGGCACACCGCTGGCCATACGGGAAAAGGTGGAGAGAGTAAAGATCCGATGCGGGGGGAATTTCGGGTTTACACAGGAAATGCTCGCGACGACACTGGATGGGCACGACATTTTATTGGGACGTGATTGGTTGCGACGGTATAACCCGTGAATTGACTGGACGACGGGTAGCTGCACTGTGCGAAGTAGCGGTAACTGGGTGTTGCTACCACGCTGGCAGTCGCCCGAGTCTTCAACGGTCCACGTCAATGCCATCACGATGAAACGGGCTGTCGCCGCTGGAGCTGATGTGTACGCAGTGGATATAGCATTGATAGGAGAAGCAGAACAGCCGAGTGATTTTCAGAAACTGCTGGCAGCGGTACCGCCCGAACTGCAGGAACTGTTGAAACGGTACCCGGGGATTTTTCCGGATGATTTACCAGAGGGACTGCCACCTCAGCGAGCACACGACCATCGAATAGAGTTAGAACCGGGGGCACAGCCAACCGTACAGCGACAGTTCAGACTGACACAACCCGAGCTCGACGAACTGAGGAAGCAGTTAGATTACCTGTTAGAGAAAAAATTCATCCGACCGAGCTCGTCACCGTTCGCCGCACCGATACTGTTCACAACGAAAAAATACGGAGGGTTTCGCATGTGCATCGATTACAGAGCACTGAACCAGGTAACAGTCAAGTCACGATACCCCATTCCCCGAGCCGACGAACTAATCGACCAATTGCGAACAGCCCGGGTTTTTTCGAAAATAGATTTACGGGGAGGTTACCATCAGATTAGAGTCGAACCATCGGACTGCGCCAAAACAGCATTTAGGACTCGATACGGGTCATTCGAATACACCGTGATGCCATTCGGGCTGACCAACGCACCGGCGACATTTCAGATGACCATGAACGAGGCGTTTAGGCCACTCTTAGATAAATGCGTGATAGTTTACCTCGACGACATCCTAGTCTACAGCAGGGATAAGCAGCAGCACTTAGCAGATCTGGAAGCAGTTTTTAAGGTTTTAGACGAGCACCGCCTACTGACCAAGGGTTCCAACTGCGAGTTCTTCCAGGATAGGTTAGAATTTTTGGGGCACGTCATTTCGGAGGCTGGGGTTGAAATCGACCCAAAGAAGCTGGACACGGTAAAAGCGTGGCACCCCCCGACGAACATCACGGAGCTGCAGAGTTTTTTAGGGTTCGTTATTTATGTACGTCGCTTCGTCCCCGACATGGCACAGTTGACTGCCCCGCAAACGGATTTACCGAGGAAGGGGGTCGTTTTTACGTGGGGGGAGAAAGAGCATGTTGCCTTCTCTGCCCTGAAAAATGTTCTCTGTTCACCGCCCGTACTGCGCATCGCCGACCCACACTGCCCATTCGAAGTCGTTACAGACGCGAGTGACATCGCCATTGGAGCCGTACTACTACAGGATTTCGGCAACGGTTTACAACCCATCGCACACGAGTCACGAAAACTGCATCCGCCCGAGAAGAATTACCCGATCCACGACCGCGAAATGCTCGCGATCGTGCATGCCTTCAAGGTATGGCGCTGTTACTTGACCGGCGCCGACGTGACAGTACGGACAGACCACCGATCCCTACAATACCTCTGCGCACAGCCCCACCTTAATCCACGACAGATCCGCTGGCTCGATTTCCTCGAGTCAAACTTCCACTACACGGTCACCTACAAAAAGGGAGCATCCAACATCGCTGACGCACTGACCCGCCCCACTGCCCAAATCCACGCAATACTACTCGCCCAGACCAGCCCGCTACTGACAGGATTATTTACCCACGGATACCCAACGGACCCATTCTTCACAGGAGGAAATTCGCAGCAGTTCGCAGCAGCAAAGGGAGTCTATTACGTAAAAGTCGGGACCGACCGCATCTGGGTACCAGGGTACACACTGCTACGGGAATTACTGTTCCAGGAGGCACACGACGGAGTTACCTCGGGACATTTCGGGGTAGAAAAAACACTGTAGCAGCTGCAGCGGTATTATTACTGGCCCGAAATGTTGACTGACGTTCAACGACACGTGGCATCGTGTCCCACTTGCCAGATCATGAAGTCATCACGGAAGCGGCCGGCAGAGCAGTTGCAGCCGATACCACCCCCAGAGCGTGCTTGGCAGCAGGTGACGATGGACTTCGTCACGGGGTTACCGGCCGGAGCGAGTGGGAACGACTCGATCCTGGTCGTCGTCGATCGATTGACGAAAATGGCACACTTCGCAGCCTGCAAAAAATCAATCGCAGCCGAAGAAACAGCCCGCCTCTTCATCTCTACCGTCGTTCGACTGCACGGGATACCAGCAGCGATCATCAGCGACCGAGACACGAAATTCACCAGCAACTTCTGGCGGAACCTGTGGCAGCAGTTCGGCACGCGACTACAGTTTAGTTCATCATACCACCCCGAAACCGACGGACAGACAGAACGGACAAATCAGACCATGGAACAACTCATCCGAGCCACGTGCGATGACCCGACCACATGGGAACAGCAACTGCCACTCATCGAATTCGCGTACAACAACTCACCCTCTGCCACGAATCAACAGTCGCCATTTTACCTGAACTACGGACAAGACCCCACAGTACCCATGACCCCGAATCCCGACAATCCAGTCCCACGCGCGCAACAGTTCGCAGAAATATTGCAAGCAGCACGGACCCGAGCAGCAGAAGCAATAAAAAAATCAAACGTCATCGCTAAGCGCAACGCCAACCGACACCGCCGCCCCGTCACTTACCAACCCGACGACCTGGTATTACCCGACACTCAAAACCTCCGCTTGCCCATCACCCCAAAACTCCGCCCCCGATATTGCGGGCCATTTCGCATCAGCCACATGATCACACCCGTCACCGCCCACCTCCTCCTCCCTGCTGACTGGTACGTCAGCCCGTCGTTCCACGTCAGCCTGCTTCGTCCATACGTGCCATCCACCAGCCAACTGCCTCGCAACCGCCCGGCCAGCATGACACGACCACCAACAGAGCCAATCATCACGCCCGAAAAAATACTGAGCCACCGAGTACGTGACCCACGGGGAGCCCGCAGGATCGAATTCCTGATCCGCTGGAAAGACCGCACACCCACCGAGGACAACTGGGTTCCCCTGGACAGAATCGAAAACCACCCCGTCCTCACAGAGTCCCTGCGCAGCCGAATTTTCCGGGATGTACACGCGTTTTCGTAAGGAGGGCCTCCTTAGGGGGGGGGGGGTAGGGTAAGGAAAATTCATTTTCCTTACTTCGCGTCCCTGCTCAGCGCGTACACCACTGTTCCCGCCAACAGCACCCAACAGTAATCCGTTACCACTTGCGACACTCGCTTCGACACCATTCCCGCCACTGTTCACGACGCGACCCAACCTCACGGTTCGGTTGGTAACCCGCGCTCCGGACCTCCGCCTCGACATCTCCCAACCTCGGCGCTAGGCCCGTCGCGCACCCCATTTTCCACACATTACCGTTACCACTGTAGTTTCGCTGTATATTCTTCGCTCATGCCTTCGCTCATTGTACTCTTGCTTCGATAGTGCAATTCTCGCTCGTTCACTCAATTGCACTCGTAACATTTTGAAATAACTGGTCATTTTATTGTGACCACATAGTCTAAGACGAAAGAGGCTATAACGCGGTTATATCTCCCGAGACATCCAGCACCTTCCCGTCCTCCTTGACAACTCGTCACACGTGCTCTCCGTCTTCTCCCTTCCTGACACCGCATATCACCATCGCCCCATGCACTGCGCTTCCTGTGATGATGCTGGCAGGTACTTATTCGCACCTGCTAGGCTTCTCTGGATGTTTCTCTCTATAGCCATGCAACGCGCTCCGCTGTGCAGCCACTCACCTCCTACTGGCGCGTGGTGCTGGCAGGCACCATGCTAGGCTTTCCGAGGCGCGTTCCATGGTACATGCTCGACGTCTCTAGATGCGTCGCGAGCATGGTCTGTTAAATCCTTTCATGTTGTTGCTTCTCCACGACGCGAGAAACTTCATTGCACTCTAGCCCTCGCGTCGGCTCCCATCGTGATGCCGCTCCCAGCCCTAAGCATGGATGGTCGAAGCTGCTACAAGATTCGAGAACGTCATAATTCGAGAGCATTTTGTGGCACTGATGCAGGTTCACCGAAGTACTACATAAGCAGTTCCATTCGTCATAGTTCGTCATCAAACTTTCAGACTAGTAATAAAACAGCCGTTCTATACGCTTCCTTCAAGCTCTCTGACCCAACAAGCTTGTGCTTTGTCACCGTCCCTCGCTTCCCCGAGTATTAGTAGCTCCCAGTCTCGACATCTCCCAGTGCGTACGGCGGTTCTCACTTCTACTTCCCGCCATGGCTCTCGCTCCGTGGACCGGCATGGGCATGATGGACCCCTTCGCGCCGATGACCTCGCTCACGTCCCCCACGGGACCGCTCGAGATGATGCCGCGTTGGATGCGCTTCCCCGACGAGTTCAGCTCGCTCTTTGAGGCTCCCACCGCCTCCTTCCTCCGTGAGACGCAGGTGAGCCACAATAATTTTCGGCTTCCCATATTGTTTTTCGTTGATTCGGCGAAGTAATAATACCTCGCGAAGTTTCCGACGGATTTTAATAAACATGTCATTTTCTGGCTCATTTCCCGTCGATGAGCAAGAGCTGACCTTGCACCGCCCCTTTGCTGATATGGGTTGTGAATATTTTTCGCAGGACATTGTTCGCACGGCGGTGGACGTTCGCGAAACGAACGATGCGTTCAAGTTCATCGCAGACATGCCTGGGCTGCGACGCGAGGAGGTGAAGGTTCAGATTGAAGACGGAAACGTGCTCGCGATTCGCGGTGAGCGCACGCGCGAGAAAAAGGAGGACACCGGAAGGTACCACCGCATGGAAAGGAGCAGCGGGAAGTTTCTCCGCAGGTTCCGCCTCCCGGAGAACACGGAGGTGGATAAGGTTACGGCGAACACGGAGCACGGCGTGCTGACTGTGACCGTGCCTAAGAAGCAGCCTACCGAGCCGCAGAAGGAAAGCGAGCCTAATGTTCGCGATGTGAAGATTCTATCTACGGAGTAAATAGTTTGCTGTGCGGAAGTAGCGATCGCAGTTTCTGTCGAGATTGCTTTGTGTGTAGCTCGCTTGTTGTACATAACCTTTGTGTACAGTTTTGTGGTGCTAATCATCGGGCTCATTTTGTGCGAACTCCAATGAAATGTGCCGTTGGAGCATGGTAGTACACTGTGATTCAGCAGCCAGAAGGCTGAACGACTTCGTTTTCATACTGCCGATATTACTATTTATTTTATTGCACGGACAATACGGTAGAACATGTAGACACTATGGACCATACTAACTTCTACCACCTAAGTGTGCACAAGCCATGTGCTGGCACAATTTTAAGTTGTTTTTGACACTACTTCCTAGTGTTCTGATGTTTGAAGTCATTGTTTGAACGGTTCTGAGAATCCTCTTACAAAGATCAGAAGAACACCAGAACACATTACAGCAGCAATGAACAAGTGCCAAAAGAACCCCCAACTACGTCTCAGCAGCTGCAGCTGGTGCGGCAGTTGTTAAGCTTGCCACCCCTGCTCTCTCAAAGTACTTGTTATCCTGTAACACATGCCCGTGAAAGTGACAAGCATAAAACATGAGAAAAGCTGGAGGATGAGAGATTTTAAGGAAAGCAAAACCAATGTGAGCAAACATGCATGCGCATGTCAGATGGGAGAGAGTGTCACGAGGGAATGTGCTATATAGGAAAATGTCATAAAGAAGAGTGTGCTATATGGGAATGTGCCATCTAACCAGATTTCATGCACCCAATCATGTGCACACCAACGCACCAGAACCTCGTCTTGAGATGCCTGGAAGCTTGTCACAATGACCCCACATTCCATGCACCCATGCATGCATGCACCCATGCACCCATGCACCCATGCAACCATGCATCCATGCGCCTATGCTCCCATTCACCCATGCAACCAAGCAGCATCTGTTGGTAGGTGGTGATGATGGCGTCTCACTCCATGCACCCGTGCACCCATGCGCACACATCCATCCACACCCACGCACCCATGCACACCCATGCATGCATGCACCCATGCATCCCTCAACCCATGCATCCGTGCACCCATGCACCCATGCAACCATGGGCACCCATGCACCCATGAACACCCATGCACAACCATGCACTCATGCACCCATGCACGAACATGCACTAACATGCACGAACATGCACACTCGAGCATGCCCATGCATGCATGTGCACTGCAACACACCAGCATCTGTTGGTAGGTAGTGATGATGGCATCCCGCGCCATGCACCCGTGCACCCTACACGTCCATGCATGCATGTGTGGGCAGGTCAACGCACCAGCATCTGTTGATAGGTAGTAATGATGGCATCTCTCTCCATGCACGTGTCTGTGTATGCCTGGATGGTTGCTGCTGCCTGCAGGGAAAGAAAGAGGAGGGCAGGACAAGAGAGAAAACTGATTCGAGAGCACAGCAGCGACAAGAGGGAGCAAACTGGTGATGATGACGTCTCGCTTCATGCATGTATCTGAGTATGCCTGGATGGTGGCTGCTGCCTGCAGGAAAAAGAGAAGTGTAGGGAGAGAAGGGGATTACATTACGGGGAAAGGGAGCACCGCACTTCCGACTGTCGCACTCCACATTTTGCTCCGGCCCAAAATGTGATAGAACCAACCTACGCCTCACACCGTACCTCGAGTCAGCGCTGCAGGTCCGGCCGGACCTTGAAATATCGGTGCGGCAGAAATGGTCAAATGCACTCTTGCATGTGCTACATCAAACCACCACCTCACAGCATATCCGTAAAACCACACCGCTGCATAACCCCACCTCGCACCGTACCTTGAACGAGCGCTGCAGGTTCAGGAGGCCCTTGGTGTGGTAGAGATGGTAAAAGGCACTCACAACTCATACTGCTGCACACCGAACCACCGCCTCACACCGCACACCACACCACCGCCTCCTACCGCGTAACACCGCATCAAACCGTACGTCGAACCAGCACTGCAGGTTCGGGTGAACCTTGGTGAAGTAGGTGTGGAAGAAATGGTATAATTAACTTGCATGCACTACACCAAACCACCGCCTCACAGCATATCCATCAAACCACACCACCGCATCACACACACCGCACACCAAAACACTGCCTCACAGCAGATCCATGAAACCACACCACCGCATAACACCGCACACCAAACCACCGCCTCAAAGCATATCCATCAAACCACACCACCGCATCACACACACCGCACACCAAAACACTGCCTCACAGCAGATCCATCAAACCACACCACCGCATAACACCGCACACCAAACCATCGCCTCACAGCATATCCATCAAACCACACCACCGCATCACACACACCGCACATCACACCACCACCTCACACCGCGTAACACTGCATCAAACCGTACCTCGAACCAGCACTGCAGGTTCGGGCGAACCTTGGTGAAGTAGGTGTGGAAGAAATGGTATAATTAACTTGCATGCACTACACCAAACCACCGCCTCACAGCATATCCATCAAACCACACCACCGCATCACACACACCGCACACCAAAACACTGCCTCACAGCAGATCCATCAAACCACACCACCGCATAACACCGCACACCAAACCAACGCCTCACAGCATATCCATCAAACCATACCACCGCATCACACACACCGCACACCAAAACACTGCCTCACAGCAAACCACACCACCGCATCACACACACCGCACACCAAAACACTGCCTCACAGCAGATCCATCAAACCACACCACCGCATAACACCGCACACCAAACCACCGCCTCACAGCATATCCATCAAACCACACCACCGCATCACACACACCGCACACCAAAACACTGCCTCACAGCAGATCCATCAAACCACACCACCGCATCACACACACCGCACACCAAAACACTGCCTCACAGCAGATCCATCAAACCACACCACCGCATAACACCGCACACCAAACCACCGCCTCACAGCATATCCATCAAACCACACCACCGCATCACACACACCGCACACCAAAACACTGCCTCCCAGCAGATCCATCAAACCACACCACCGCATCACACACACCGCACACCAAAACACTGCCTCACAGCAGATCCATCAAACCACACCACCGCATAACACCGCACACCAAACCACCGCCTCACAGCATATCCATCAAACCACACCACCGCATCACACACACCGCACACCAAAACACTGCCTCACAGCAGATCCATCAGACCACACCACCGCATAACACCGCACACCAAACCACCGCCTCACAGCATATCCATCAAACCACACCACCGCATCACACCAAAACACTGCCTCACAGTGTACCGCGTACCATCGCCATACACCGTACCTCGAACCAGCGCTGCAGGTTGGGGCGACCCTTGGTGATGTCTGTGTGGCAGAAATGCTCAAAGGCGATCTTGAATCGCTCCAGGAAGGGCAGATACGCGATGTCCACCTGGGGAAAACGAAATAACGGGTGGGGGATGGAAGGGAAGATATGTATTAGAGCTCACATTAACATAAATACCAGGAGACCAGGAGACCGCTCCAGGAAGGGAAGATAGGCGTTGGGGGAAAACGAGGAAAACACCAGGCTCATATGAACCTCATGACATATGACTTTGAGAGCTTACTATGACACATAACACGATTAGAGCTTACATTACCATGTGTTATACGGAGGACGAAGGACCGGTTTAGAGACTTACGTATGAGAAGCTTCCTAGAAAGAACGGCCCATTTCCTTGGTGCTTGCCCAGGCTCGCCTCTATGGAATTCAGGTGCGATCCTGATGAGCACGAGATGCCAGATGGTGACAGGGCACAAGACATTGACGAAAAGATACCG